ACACCAGACATCCCCCCCACAGGGAGGGTGCCAGGGCTGGACACAGCACAGGGATCAGACACAGGCAACTTGGCCCACCTCTTGGACCACCACAGGACCCCAGAACAAGCTGCAGCTCTCCCACCCTCAGCACATCTCTCCTGACGTGCTGGAGCCTCTTGCCAACCTTTCCAGTGGCCCCACAGTGACCTGGTTGGTGGCTCAGAGGAGCAGAAGGGAGGCCTGGCACCCTCTGGCACCCCCAGCCCACCAGACCTTACCTTCACCGAGGGCTGGGCAGACAAGGCTCCGTTCTTCCTCTCCTCCTCATCCCACACCTCCTCCTGATCCTCAGGCTCTGCATTGTTATTGCAGCCCCCCAGCTCCTCTTCCTCCTTGGGGACCCCCTCGCTGCTCAGCCCCTGCAGAAGTGCCACCACTGCCTCTGGCTTGGGCAGTTTGGTTATCTTAAAGTGTTTCTTGTAGTGGGGCGTGTCCTTGCGGATCAGCCTCTGCTTCTCCACGGGGAAGGGTCTCTCCTCATCCTCGTCCTCGTCCTCGCTCCGGATGAGCGTGTCCTCAGCAAAGTGCACTGTGGGCTGCAGAGGCAAAGCCCCGGCAGGGCCGTGAACCTCAGGTGAAAGCTGCACCTGGGGGCAGCACAGAAACCTGCTGCCCCCCCTCGCTGCTGCCTCTGCGCTGAAGACGCTGCAACACACGTCCCAGATTTGCTGTTTTTTACCCCAACTCCCACACCCAGGCAGCTTCTGAGGGCACTCAAACCTGTCATCCCTGCATCCTTCTCTGGCTCCCACACTGTCCCTCCTGCTCTCCCAGACCCAGCTCCCCCCCCTGCCTGGATCCCTCCTCACACTTGGCTCCCACGGCCCGGGTTTTCCCCAGGGAAGCCCAAACCCCCCTCAGCACACCCAGTTACCCCTTCCTCTGAAACTTTCCAGTCCTCCACAGAATCACAGAATCTTAGGGGTTGGAAGGGACCTCAAGAGATCCCCCAGCCCAGCCCCCCTGCCAGAGCAGGATCACCCAGAGCACATCACACAGGAACGTGTCCAGGGGGGTTTGAATGTCTCCAGAGAAGGAGACTCCACAGCCTCTCTGGGCAGCCTGTCCCAGGGCTCTCTCACTTCACAGGAAAGAAGTTTCTTCTAATGTTTACGTGGAACTTCCTCTGCTCCAGTTTGCACCCACTGCCCCTTGTCCTGTCACTGGACATCACTGCACAAAGCCTGGCTCTGTCCCCCTGACACTGCCCTGAACAGATTTGTGCCCATGGATGAGGTGGCCCCTCAGTCTCCTCTTCTCCAAGCCCAACAGACCCAGCTCCCTCAGCCTTTCCTCAGCAGGGAGATGTTCCCCTCCCTTCAGCATCTCTATGGCTCTGCCCTGGACTCTTTCCAGCAGTTCTCTGTCCTTCTGGAACTGAGGGGCCCAGAACTGGACACAATACTCCAGATGCAGCCTCACCAAGGCAGAATAGAGGGGAAGGAGAACCTCCCTTGACCTACTAACCACCCCCTTTCTAACCCACCCCAGATGCCACTGGCCTTCTTGGCCACAAGGGCATGGGGTTGTTCTTCCCCAGATGCAAAACTCTGCACTTGCCCTTGTTGAATTTCACCAAGTCTCTCCCTGCCCAACTCTCCAGCCTGTCCAGGTCTCCCTGAATGGCAGCACAGCCCCCTGGTGTGTCAGCCACCCCTCCCAGTTTGGTGTCACCAGCAAACTTGCTGAGGCCACACTCTGCTCCCTCCTCCAGGTCATTGATGAAGATGTTGAACAGCACTGGTCTCAGTACTGACCCCTGAGGGACCCCACTGGTCACCCACCTCCAACCAGATCCTGTCCCATTGACCACAGCTCTCTGACTTGCTCCTTTCAACCAGCTCACACCCACGTTCCCATGGCCCTGCTGCAGTTCCTGGAGTCCTACCTCATTGTATTCCACTTCCACATCCTCCTCCTCACGGTCAGCAGGTTCCTTATGCTCCTCTTCAGCCCTAGGCTTCGGCTCCTTCTCCAGGTGCTGCAGCTCAGGCCCCTGCCCGTTGGGGCAGCCCCTCTCCCCACCCTGCTCCCCCCGGGGGTCTGCAGAGGTGCTGCTGCTGGACACGTGGGAGTCCTCGCTGCGGTGGGACGTCCCGCTCAGCCTCTTCTCCTGGGGAGGGGGTTGTGGAGGTCAGGATGGAACCCGAGGCCCAGCTGGAGCCTGACAGGGCTGAGCTGGGACCTGCTCCATCACCACCAGGCGCTGCTCTGTCTGGCTGCATCTCCCCCCCCACCCCCCTCCCCCATCTCTCCAGGCATTTATTCTTAGCACCACCCCAGGGCAGCAAGAAGCCTCCTTTGAGCACTCAGTTCCCATCACTCTTTACTGGGAATATCAGAGACTTCTTTTCTTCTCCCCATCTTACCACAAGAGGGGTACCAATGCACCCATTCCCCTTGTGCCTTCTCTGTCTCCTGGTTGCTCCATCTCAGTGGCTCCATCTCAGAGCACCAGGCAGATCCCAGACACTCCAACATCAGACCCTTCCAGTCCTTCCAAAAGTTCCTTCTGCCCAGCTTAACACATTGTCTGCCCATTCACAGAGTCATCAGGGATGGCAGGGAGCTCTGGAGCCCCCCCCTCCCAGCCCCCAGGGCAGGGTCACCCCCAGCAGGTCCCACAGGAGCCTCCAGAGGGGCTGGGGGGTCTCCAGAGAAGGAGCCTCCACAGCCTCTCTGGGCAGCCTGGCCCAGGGCTCTGCCACCCTCCCAGGCAACAAGTTCCTCCTCCTGGGGAGCTTGCCCCTCCTGTGCTCCAGCTTGTGCCCATGGCCCCTTGGCCTGTCCCTGGGCAGCCCTGAGCAGAGTCTGGTCCCCCCCTGCTGACCCCCTGCAGATCCTGCTCAGCCTTGAGGAGACCCCCCCTCAGGCTCCTCCTCTCCAGCTGAACAGCCCCAGCTCCCTCAGCCTTTCCTCCCAGGCAGATGCTCCAGCCCCTCAGCACCTTGGGGGCCCTGCCCTGGACTCTCTCCAGCAGCTCCTTCATCCCCTGGGAGCTCTCCCCACCCAGGACAGGTCCATGTTCCCCAGGGCCCCCAGCACTGACCTCTGAGCGGGGGGAGCTGGGGGCAGGGTCGGGCTTTGCTGCCAGGGCCTCGTTGCGCCGAACTTCGATCACTTTCTTCATCACCTTCAGCTCACTGGGGTGGGGGGTTGCCCGGCGCTGCAGCCCCTGCAGCGTTGGAAGGGACCTTTAAAGCCCATCCAGTCCCACCCCACCACGGGCAGGGACACCTCCCACCAGCCCAGGCTGCTCCCAGCCCCATCCAACCCGGCCTGGAGCACTTTTCCTTACCCGCCTCTCCCCTCCAGACTCCTCTTCATCATCTACTTTGGGCTCATCCAGGAACTGAATCACACTGACCCTGTTCAGGTTGGTGTCTGTCCAGCTCTCATCCACACTGTTCTGCAAAAGGTTCTCTGGGGAGAGAGAGGGAGAAGACACTGGGAGATACTTTCTGAAGCAGCAGGGTTGTAGGCTTGGATGAAAGACAAGATCTCAACCCACGAGGGCACTTCTGGGGTATCTGTCCATGGCATCAAACCACAGAGGCCTTGAGGACACAGGATGTGGCCTCCAGGTCTTGTCACCCCTTGTACCTCTCCCACCAGATCTTTAGCAGCCTCTACCACAGGACCTGAAAGGTTCAGCTCCAGTACTGCTTGCCCAAGAGCTGAGGAAACAGGTTGGATTGAGGCACTAACACCAAGAACATGATGATGACAGGAAGCAAACCTGACAGACAATTAACTACTCAGCCAATAGGTCACAGCAGAAGACTTGAGGACTAAGCTGCAGCCTCTTTGCCACCCGGCAGAAAAGCACTTTCTCAGTCTCAACAACCCCTGCCTTGGAAAGAGGCCACCAGGTGTGGAGGAGCCAGGTCTGCCACAGGTACCAGGGGGATGAGGGACAGAAGCACCAGGCACCTCCAGGGCACCCAGCCCTGCAGGCAGTGCTCACAGGACAGGCTCTTACCTAGGCTGGGGGAGGGCTGCTGGGGCAGCAGGTAACAGGTGAGGACTTTCTCTCCTGTCTTTTCATCATCCTCTGTTTGGAATTTCAGCATGGGCTGGGACTGATTTTCTGCCAGCCACAGGGCCTTCAGGTTCAGGTTTGTCAGAGCAAATGGCAGGTTCTGCAGCCTGCCAAAGACAAGAAGAAACTGGTGGCTAAAAGTCATGAAGGAACACGAACTCAGCTCCAGAATGTCTCAGCTGCACTGGAGCTGCTGCAGGACCCCTCACTCCCACACACACCAAGGAAGCTGCTTCCTGCTGCCTGAGGCTCTGCCCAGGCCCAGCCTGGACTCCAGTAACCCACCCTGACCAGTTCAGAGCAGGGGACAACTCCCACCAGCAACATGAAAATAAATGGTGAACTCTGAGGAGGGTTTGGAGGCAGAGGAATGATGCTTCCATGGAGCAGCACACAAAGTATCCCAAACAGGAGCTCTGGTCCAGCTTCCAGCTGCCACCAGGACACCAGCCTGGGCTAACAGGACTGCAGCCCCAGAGCAGACCCAGTGCTGCACTGGGGGGTTCTGCACTTCACAGAGGGCACCAGGGCCCTGGGGACTGATGGCACAGAACAACAAGACCCAGAGGAAGGCAGGGAAGCAGGGATTTCCCCTGGTCTGTGTTTCCCAGGAAGAAAAATGCTCCCACACTTAGTTAGAATGGTTTGGGTTGGAAGGGGCCTTAAAGATCCTCAGGTTCCAACCCCCCTGCATGGGCAGGGGCACCTCCCAGCAGCCCAGGCTGCACAAGCCTCATCCAACCTGGCCCTGAACACCTTAACACCTCCAGGGATGGGGCAGCCACAGCCTCCCTGGGCAGCCTGTTCCACTGCCTTCCTGCCCTCATGGGGAAGAATTTATGTCTGATGTCTGACCTGAATCTCCCCTCTTTCAGTTTAAAACCATCACCTCTTGTCCTGCCACTGCCCTCTCTGGTGAAAAGCCCCTCCCCAGCTTCTGCATCAGTTCTACCCCAACCTCAGCTGCAGATACAACTGGTAGGACTCCATGAACTTGCTCTGATTTTACTGGTATAGAAATTATTGGGAATGTAACCACAGCCACCTAAAAACAGCCCATTTTTTTCTGAAGCTGAACAAGACAGGGGAGGTTAAGATGGGGTATTAGGAAAACTGTCCTCCCTGAAGGGCTTGTCAGGCACTGGAACAGGCTGCCTGGGGAAGTGCTGGAGTCACCAACCTTGGAGGTGCTTTAAAGTCATGCAGACGTGACACTTAATGACATGGTTTAGTGGTGGGCCTGGCAGTGTTGGGTTAATGGTTGGACTTGGTGATCTTGAGGGTCTTTTCCATCTAAAATGATTCTATGATTCTGTGTATTCAAGTAACACGGAGAAGGGCTGAACAGGCAAAGCCTGAGAGAGACACCTCCTCTTTGCAGAGCCCTTTGGGGCATCAGGAGAGCTGAGGAGGGACCCTGGACAAGGGCATGTAGGAGGAAGACAAAGGGTAATGGATTAAAACTGTGAGAGATTTAGGTTGGACACTGGGAAGCAACTCTGGGCTGTGAGGGTGGGGAGCCCCTGGCCCAGGTTGCCCAGGGAAGCTGTGGCTGCCCCATCCCTGGGGGTGTTGAAGGGCAGGTTGGATGGGGCTTGGAGCAGCCTGGAATGGTGGGGGTTGCACCTCCATGAGCTTTAAGGTCCCTCCAACCCAGACCATTCCAGGACTCTAAGCAACCCTGGGCTTCTCCAAACCACGAATCCGGCGCCTCCCAGAACGACCCACGGGCCCAGCCCAGGCTGCCCCATCCCCGCTGCCTCCCTGGGGGGTGCCCAGCAGGCTGTGCCCCTGCCAGGGTGGGGAGCTGAGCTGTTCCCAGCCACGTCCAGCACGTGCAGCTCGGTGGTGCTGGCCAGCTCGGGGGGCAGCAGCGCCAGGCGGTTGTCGCGCAGGGACAGCACGTTCAGGTTGGAGCAGCCCCCGATCTCGGCCGGCAGCGCCGTCAGCCGGTTCCGGTCCACGTTCAGGTTGGTCAGCTTGGCCAGCTTCCCCAGGGACCTGGGCAAGGCCTAGGGGGAAGGGGAGGCACTGGGTGCAAAAGGCAGGAGCAGCAGAGGAAGGTACCAAGCCCTTCGTCTGGAGACAAAAGCTCCTCCTGCCTGAGCAGACACGTTCCCTGGGCTGTTCCCACAGCAGCGCTGGGAGACACTGCCCTCCTGACACACCAGCTCTTCCCCACAGCTCATTCCCAGCACCACTGCTCAAGGTTCTCCTGTTCCTCTCTCCGTTCCCAAAACTTGTGTTTTAATAACCAAATCACGAGCAGTTTGGAGCAGGGTCATTTGAAGTGTCACTGCCCCTTGGCAAACGCAGCTTCTGATCTGGTGCTGAAGGCCAAGGAGCTGCTGGAGAGAGTCCAGGGCAGGGCCCCCAAGGTGCTGAGGGGCTGGAGCATCTGCCTGGGAGGAAAGGCTGAGGGAGCTGGGGCTGTTCAGCTGGAGAGGAGGAGCCTGAGGGGGGGTCTCCTCAAGGCTGAGCAGGATCTGCAGGGGGTCAGCAGGGGGGGACCAGACTCTGCTCAGGGCTGCCCAGGGACAGGCCAAGGGGCCATGGGCACAAGCTGGAGCACAGGAGGGTCAAGCTCCCCAGGAGGAGGAACTTGTTGCCTGGGAGGGTGGCAGAGCCCTGGGCCAGGCTGCCCAGAGAGGCTGTGGAGGCTCCTTCTCTGGAGACACCCCAGCCCCTCTGGAGGCTCCTGTGGGACCTGCTGGGGGTGACCCTGCCCTGGGGGCAGGGAGGGGGGGTCTCCAGGGGTCCCTGCCAGCCCTGATGACTCTATGACACCTGCTCCCATCAGATGGGGTGGCCTCCAGGCCTGGCTATCTTAGAGCATCCCAGCTATCCTAGAGAAAAAACCACTGAGAGGGAAAGCAGTTTCCACCAGGGTCTTCTCCAAAGCCTGTGAGCTGGTGAAACTGCATAAGAGCAGAGAGCTGGAGCACACTCAGGAATCCATCCAGAAGATGGGAGAAGGTCCCTGGCACGTGGCTCAAGCAGAGGGCCCAGGAGAGGCAGGGGCTGCTGGTTACTCACTGTCAGCATGTTCTCTGTCAGGATGAGCTCAGACAGATTTTCACAGTCCCCAATGGCCTCTGTCACCTCTGTCAGTCGGTTCTGGTCCACCTTGAGGATGGAGAGCTGCTTCAGCTGACCTGGCCAGGGCAACAAGTGAGGTGTGAGCTCAGCCAGAGGTAACAATGCTCCTCTGCCCCAAACCCTCCCAGCAGGGCTCTCCTGCTCTCCCCACCTGCCTTGCTCACAGGTTTCACTCCTGCACGAGGCAGGTCAAGGACCTGATCTACTCCTGGAGGGTTCTGTTCACCAGTATCACCTGCAGCTCCTGCATTCAACTGCTCTGCCTGTGTCCCCAGCCCCAACAGCTCATTACACTCACTCTGGCCACAAGCCCCCAGGCAGGGAGCCCAGCACAGGCAACAAACTGTCTGGTGATCAAGGCCCAAAGAGCTGTGGGGAGTGGAATGAAATCCAGTGGGTGGCTGGTCACCAGTGGTGTCCCCAGAGCTGTGTTGGGGCCAGTTCTTTTTTAATGTCTTCACCCATGATCAGGATGAGGGGACTGAGAGCCCCCTCAGGCAGTCTGCAGCTGACACCAAGTTGGGAGGGAGTGTCCATCTACCTGAGGGTAGGAAGGGACCTGGACAGGCTGGACACCTGGTTTGAGGTCAATCTAAGGAGGTTCAGTAAGGCCAAGTGCCAGATCCTGCCCTTGGGTCACACCAAAGCCCCAACACTCCAGGCTTGGGGAGGAGCAGCTGGGAAGTGCCCGGGGGAGAAGGACCTGGGGGGGGTGGTCAACAGGGTCTGGAGATGAGCCAGGGTGTGCCCAGCTTGGCCACCAGCATCCTGGCTTGTGTCAGCACTGGGGTGGCCAGCAGGAGCAGGGCAGGGATCATGTCCCTGTGCTGGGCACTGGGGACACCTCAAACCCTCGGGTGAGGTTTGGGTGAGAAAAGGGACACGGAGGGGCTGGAGCATGTCCAGGGAAGGGCCCTGGAGCTGGGGAAGGGGCTGGAGCAGAAGGAGAAGGGGCTGGAGAATTTGTGAGGAGCAGCTGGGGGAGCTGGGGGTGCTGAGCCTGGAGCAAAGGAGGCTGAGGGGAGACCTGCTGGCTCTGCAGCTGCTGAGAGGAGGTTGGAGCCAGGGGGGTCGGGCTCTGCTCCCCAGGAACAAGCCCTGGGCCAAGAGGGAACGGCCTAAAAAAAAGGGGGGGAGTCCCCATCCCTGGGGGGGTTTCCAAGCCCTGGGGATGGTGCTGAGGGACACGGGGCAGGGGTGGCCTTGGCAGGGCTGGGGGAATGGATGAGCTGGAGGATCCTAAAGGGCTTTTCCAACCCAAAGGGCTCCCAGATTCTATGACTCCTGCCCCCTCCCCACCCCACCACACTCACCAATCCCATCAGGGATGCATTCCAGCAGGTTCTGGGACAGCAGCAGGTCAGTCAGGGCTATGAGCCCACTGACCTCGTTGGGCAGCTGCTCCAGCTTGTTCTCCGACACGTCCAGGCAGACCAAGCGGCGGAGGTTGCCCAGCTCCTGGGGGCAGAAGGGAGACACCAGGGCTCGAGGGAGCAGCTGGGCAGGGTGGGAGGTGGTGGGGCCAGGGGCTGGGCAGGGTGGGAGGTGGTAGGGCCAGGGGCTGGGCAGGTACTCACTGGAGGCAGGGCCGAGAGCTGGTTCCTGTCCAGCCAGAGCTCACGCAGGTTCGGGAGCGCTCCCAGGGTGTCTGGCTGCAACAGAGCAGGACAGGGAAGGCATCAGTCCCTTCCATGGGCAAGGAGCTGCTCTAGGATGCCACAAAGCACACCACACCTCTGCCAAGCCACACTGCTGCTGCCTTCACACCTCCTAGGACCCTTCACCACCTGGTTTGTGAAGGTCACGTCCTGCTGTGCCACAACACGCCTGGGAAGGTCTGGGAGGGCAGCGTGGCTGCAGGAGGTCCATGGGAACATGGAACACAAGAGCCAGGACTGCCTGGAAGCAGGAAGGCAGGAGCTAAACGGAGCTTTGGGAAGTCTGGCCTTGTGGAAGAAGTGAGTCTTTCTCCTCCTTCCTCCTCTGAGACATGAGAGCAGTTACAGGGGCCAACTTGACGTGACAGAGCAGCAGCACCAGGTGAGCACCTGGGCTTGGGGCTGAGGCCCCAGAAGGGCAGCTCCTTGGTCAGAAAGCTGCTCTCCCCAGGGAGCTGCACAAGCTCCTCTGCCTCCCAGCTCAGGTGGGTTCTGCCAGAAATCATCCCAGGACGTTCAGAGCAGGATGCAGGAACAGTTTAATCCAGGGCTGCAAAATTGAAGGACATCACTGGGTGTCCCTGGGTGTCAGGACAAGCTGAATGCTGAGGGTGTGCTCTCCCAGCACACTCTCACCCACAGCCCCCCGTGGGCACCCCGGGGCAGGGGGTCCATGCCAGGCTGACCTCACTGCCAGGAACACCAGGGAATGGTCCTGCACTTTGCAGTAACTGAACCAGAAGGAGGGAGGCAGAAAGCTGGCCCAGCAGGAGAGGACAACAAAGCTGGGAGGGGAGCAGCACAGCAGGGAAAGGAAGTGCCAGAGAGTCTCACTGGAAAGGGAAGATCCTCAGGCAGCCACTTGCAAGGACCTCCCTCCCAGAGCACAAGGCTTGGAGAGGGCAGAGCAAGCTGTGCACCAGGACAGCAGGCAGCAAGACACAGGGGCCAAGATGTGAGGAGAAGGTTGTGCTGGGAACCATGCCTAGGTTGTGGTGGGCAGAGCAGAACCTCCCCAGCAACCCCAGGCCTGGTCCTCTGCATTTCAGGTGAAAACCCACTTGTTCCCACTGAAGTCCAGGGTTCTGCCCCAACCACCCACCCGTATTTCCCCCCCCCCTTCCCTCA